AGAATCTGGCTGCTTCTCCCACCTCAACTGCTGCCCCTTAGGTCCACACCACCCGCAGGTCTGGCCTGGGTGGCCGGGGCCTCCTAACTGGACTTTGTCTGCCCTTGAGCCCCCCCATCAGGCGCTCCTGAGCCCAGCAGCCAGGGTAACTCATCAAAGTGATCAAAGTCCTCACGGCCCTGCAGCAGCTTCGCATCTCACTGGGAAATCAGGGCATCACTCATGCCAAAAGGCCTCTCAGCCCCCCGTGCCTCAACTCTTCCCTCCACCTGCCCACACAGCCCCAGCCCCCCTCAGCTGCCGGCTTCTGCACCTGGCCTTCTGCCCACAGCACTGATGCCCCCTCCCAGCCGTGCCTCCCCACCCTCTCCCCCATGCTCCCCTTTGTCTGCCTCCTCTATCTAATCTTCTAACATATATTTTTTTAAAAATCTATCCTGTTTATGGTCTCTCTGTCCCCCTCCCACTCTCACCAAATAGGAGCAAGATTTTGATCATTCTGGGTCACAGCCATGTCCCCAGCACTGCAGACAAGCAACACAGTCAGGTGTCTGGGGAATGCAGGGGGCAGGGAGCAGGGGAGGGGCTCTGAGCCCCAGGAGGCAGGGCAGAAAGCTGGTCTCCCCGCCCCTCCCAGACCAGACTCCAACTGGGCAGACATACTCCCCAAAGACCCACTGGAGGGGGCCCCAGTCCTACCTGTGTCACTCTAGACCACTCCTCCAGTCAGGATGACAGCCAGGCCACTCTGCCAGCGAGAGGCCCCCGAGGGCTGCCGCTGCTCTCCCTTTGTCTCTGAGAGCCTTGCCTGACCTCCAACCCACCAAGCAGGAGGTCACACGAGCGTGCTGGACGTGCCGGGCTCTGTGCCAGGCACCCCCACCTACCACGTCACTTCCTCCTCACGACAAACCAATGAGGTCACTTGTGCCCAGAGGGCCTGCCCAGACACTCAGCCAATACACAAAGGGCAGGGACTCGAATCCAGAGCCCACCAGGCGACAACACTGCATTTCCCCTTGAGAACCCCAGCCTCTGAGACGGTGAAAGGCCTAGAGGCTCAAGCCAGCCCCACAAACGGCCGAGGGAGCGAGAAGGTGGTCCTCACCCCACTCTGAGGCCGTCCTCAGCCAGCCTCCACCCAGGGCACCTCCAGGCTTTCCGCAGTTTAGTCTGAGCTCACCTTCAGCAGTCATCACCTCCCAGCGAGCCTGCGGGGAGCTTCCACCGCTACCTCTGCCTGGTCAGCTCCAACCCAGTGCTGACAGTGTGGGTTTTCTCCACAATTTTAAACCCCAGGGTTTTTCTCCTACCGTGTCCTTTCTCCTTCTCCCTCAACTCAGTCCTATTGGTCCTTCAAGTCCTGGCTCAGACACCACCTGCTGTGACTCCCACCCCCAACCTCCCCCAGGGCAGGGGCCACTGCCCTTTCCTGCCATCTTCCCGCCATGGACACAGCACCTGCACATGCCTGACACACCCCAGGTACCCAGGAGACGGCTACAGCAGAACAGGAGGGCCAAGTGCTGCCTTTCCAGCTCCCTGTGGAAATCCCAGCCTCAGAATTAGAATCCCTTCCACCTCCACGGTCTGATGGGAAAAGGCAGCCCCCAGAACCTGCTGAAGCCCTCTGCTAGTGCTTGGGACGTAGGTTCATAGGCCAGGCTGACGCCAGGCCTGGGGCAAGCGGAGCTAAGGGGTCTGAGATCTGATGGGAGCACTGTCCAGTGCGGGCTCTGCTGGTGACGTTCACCGGGGAACTCAGCCTCTCAGAGCTGGAAGATACCCTCCTCAGAGGGAGGCTGGGAGGATGGAACCAGGGCCCATCAGTGAGCAAGCCTTCGAGGGTGGCACGAGGTGCCCTCTGTGACCAAGGTGTGAGGGCTGGGCTCAGCACGGCCAGCTCCCTCCTCAGAGGAAACTGGATTCCGATCTAGGAGTCTTCACTCCACATTAGACCCAAGCACGGTCGGCCAGCCAGGCCGGTCCGGGGCCTGCACTGCACGCGGGCCCTGCCCCACACACAGCACCGGGGCTGCAACACACCTTGAGGGCTGGCCTCCTCCCTACCTGAGGGCCATGTTGGGACCCCCACTCCGAGTCACTCTGAGCAGCTCAGGCTGATTCTAACTCACTCAGTGGTTCAGCAGGCCCTGAGGCGTTCTGACTGCATGCCAGGGCCCCCAGCTCCCAAGCTTCCCCAGGATAGGACCCCCACACCCCTCCCAGCCCTGTCCTGGGGGCATTCTCCCAGAAGGGCAGCTGGCGGCTCTGAGCCCTGCTCCAGAGGCTGACTGCCCAGGGCCGCTGCCCAGTGAGCGGCTGGCTGCGAGGGCTCTGCCCAGCCAAGGGAGGGCCGGCCTCGCACCGCCCTGCAGCCGCGGCCCTTTACCTTTGCACACTCGCCTCGTACTCAGTCCTCTGCCGGCACAGCTGTGCCCTGAGCTCTGCGACCAGGCCCTGGAGAGCCTCGGAGCGGCGGGCGTGCTCCCGGGCTGGGCTGCCCGGCTCACTGGGCTCGCTGCTGCTGATGCAGGTGCCCACCCCATCCAGGCCGCGCTCCGGGCCCAGGGGTCTGCACTCCTCACTGCTGCTGGGGGCGGGGGAGGGCTCCAGGGCCCCCTCGGCGTGCAGGGAGCTGCAGGCGGAGGAGTCGCTGGCCCGGCAGGCCGTGCAGCTGCTGACCGAGCCCCTGGCCGAGGCCTCGCAGGAGGAGGCCCCAGACCACGGCGTGCTGGCCCCGCTGGACGTGCTGGGGAAGAGGCTGGCTGGGGGCACGTTGTCGTAGGT